TTGTAGATAGTTTGTAGTAAAATTGTAGAACACGTGAAATTCAATACTTCAATATTCATAACATTTGAACTACACTTGTTATGTAGTATTTTTGTAGCTATATTTTAGAAAAATTGTAGAACACATGAAATATAAAAAAATATCACCACTAAAATAACAAAGCAAACCTGCAATTGTGTTCGAATTAGAGATACTAAATTTCAAATCAAAATCACGCACGGTTATACATAGCAGATACATTCCTAAGCTTTTGTTTAGCCCAACTATAATTTGAATCATCGCTGACTACAATTCCGTCAACATTAAAATTTTTGTATCTCTCAATGCTATCCCAATTACCATTTAGCTGGGGCATAATAGCTATTTTTGACATTATGTCGTGGAATTCAATACAATTGTAGATAATTTTTTGTAATTTTCTTTTTCAAAACCTTCGCTTATGGTTGTGAAAACAGATAGAGAAAACTAGAGTATTAGCGATGATAAACTGAAAAAATCGGCGTAATAACAGGCTTAATTCAATTGCGATGATTGCGTCATAAAATTCTCGGAAGAATCCTATGCGATCCCAAAATCCCCCCTCTAAAATAGGAAGGCTACTGCAGAAAGGATTATAATTTAAATAAATGTATATAATTTGTAGACAAAACGTGTTTAGGCCGAGTAATTAAGTAAACATGGACATTTTTGGGAATAAAGTTTCATATAGTGTATAGGAATGAAAAAATCCCTATTTATAATCCTAAAGTAGGGTTGTCAAATTTGGTCCAAGCCCAAATGACCAGTCCAACCCGTCCAAGATTGAGCTGGTTTTTGACCCGCTCATTTATTGAACTTAGTCCATCTTGACGCAACCCATTTAAGTTGGGCTAATTTTTAGCCCAAATTGATCTATAAGTATCTTTATCAAAATATCTTAGAAATAATTATTTTTTATTTGATATGTTATATATGATCATAACAAAAGAAGAAAAAAAATCTTATTTAGTAATTATACAATTTATAAGAAAATAATACATATTAATTAAAGCTTAATATGAGTTGGGTGGGTTGAATTATTAAACAAACCAAATTTTAATTCATAGTGATCCAACCTATCTTAAACAAAGTAACTTTTGGACGGGTCAAATTATTGACTAACCTATTTTTGACCCGCACAAAATGGACACATCCCGCCTTTTTAAACCCGAGTCCTTAAGCAAGTCAAATCCTAAAACAAGCGCCCTATTTAAGTGGGAAGAGGATTCTCAAGTTCAAGTTAGTGACGCTGACACCACCCTCAACTGATAAAGAAGAAAATACAGCGCGTAACATTCGATTCTCCTCTATTATCACGAATTGCGCCAATCCGCCACCTTCACTTCTCCTCTATATTATCCTCTCTTAACAAACAGTTTCACATTACAAATTGCTTGAGACTTTTTTGCTGTCTATTTCTAGAACTAGAATGGACTCTATGATCGAATTATGTGATTTGATTGCAGAAAACCCAGCTCAATTGGGGGATAAATTAACTTGGATATGCAGCAGATGTCCATCAGCAGCAGAAATCCTAGGATCATCATCACTTAGGGTTAGGGTTTCAAGGTCTCAACTCAATGCCATACTCGCTGTTGCACGATTCCTCTCAAAATGCCCGAACTATTCAGATGAAACGCCTAAAGCACTCGTCCTCGATTTTTATCGTTCAATTCCTTCGTATTTCAACCGGTCCTTTTGGCCACAATCTTTTACAAACGACTCAATTGATTCCTTTTTCGTTGATTTCTTTGAATATATTTGTACAGCATGCAAATTATGTCCAGAATTTTCTGTTGACGTGGCTAAATTCACGGGGGATATTATGATCTCAGCTATAGGCAATGAGAATGAGGATTTGGGGATTAAAAAGGCGATTTTGAAAGCATTTTGTTGTAACTGTCCACCTGTTGTTCCTTCCGATGCCAACAAGTTAGTTTTGGGCATGCTTGAGCAGTTTCCTAGCTCTCCGGGATCATCCTCTGTTTGTTCATCTACGAGTCCGGGATCATCCTCTGATAGTTCATCTACGAGCGTAGGTGATGGTAGAAGCAGTGGGGATAGTGATGAAGTTGTTGAGGAGGCTGTAGATAGCATTGAGAGACGAGAAATGGCACTGAAGGTGATAGGAAATGTACTGGATAAATCCTCCATCGGTAACAGTCTATTGGAAAATGTCAGATTTATTGTACAGCAACAGTTTCACTCAATGGTAGCATTCTTAAAGGTAAAAAATTCATGATCTTGATGTTTATTCTGTTAAATTATGCGTAGTACTTTATCGCTTTAGGTAGAAGTTGCATGCTACTATGGTTGCAGCTTATTCCGTTACATGCATTGATATTGTTACATTGCAGCTTATTCTGTTACAGTTTATTTTCTTTACTTGGTTGACTGACAGAAAAGTAAGCATGACTGGTTGGAGCAAGGGCAGTTACTGAAAGTTAGGATCAATGCCAAGCTTTCTGCTTATCAAGCGGCAGCGGGGTTGCAGATTAAAATTCTTGGATCCTTTGATTTGGGTGGAAAATCATCAAAAAGTTTGTTGCGTGGAACTCTTGAGTTGTTGATAGGCGCTGCAGAAGCATGTTTACGCTCTGCATGGCGGAAGTTGAGGGCATGTGAAGAGCTATTCAGCTCCTTGCTTTCTGGAATTTCCCGTGCTGCTGTTGCTCGTGATGGTCAGATGCTTGAATTTCTGCTCGTTCGGTTTAAGCCTCTTGTGCTGGACACATGTGCTCAGGTACGAGTTTCGTTGCTTTAGGTCACACTTAATGGTTCAGTCGTGATTGCAGAATCTAGCATAACTTGTTGATTTGGATTTTTTCACCACAGTCAGACACCTGGGACAGCAAAAGGGGGGCCATGTTTGAAAGCGTGTTGAAGACAAGTTGTGAGATAATTCAGTTTGGATTGTACAAGAATCAATTTTCTGTATATACTTTTATTACAAGCATTCTTGAAAGGAATCGTTACAAGGAAGAGGTTAGTTTTATCTTGCATTTAACTAGCATTTTGAATAACTCATATGCGTTAATAATTTACTAGTGGAAGGAAAATGGATGTTTCTTGATGAATCAAGAGGTACTAAACACCGATTAAAAAAAATCAAGAGGTACTAAACCCTACCAGTTTTCTGGAGTTGCTAGATATTGCTTAGGAATGGTATACAGAGCTTTCTACCACATTTTTAATTTCTTCAAACATTATGTATGTTTGAAGATCATTTAGACTGTTGATTATACCGCTCACCTTCTACAAAGCTGTCTTTTCCAAGTTGATAG